ATGACACACTGTAGGGGTTAAGTCATACATGTGATATACTCTTGTGTCAACATTTAAAACCATCTAAGATTCATTTTCATCATTACATCAACAGTAAAGAAAAAAATTGTAATGCTAAGGCATTGTAAGAAATGCTTCTTCAGTTCATTTCTGACATGAAATATCTCTTATGAGAGACCTGCAAAAAAGTTAGGCACCATTCATTTATTTTCTTGTATTCCCAACTTCCACAGATGTTTTTGAGATATTTGCATGTATGTTATACCTATGTTGGTAGATATACTGAACAAAAAAAGTTTGGGATCATGAATATTTTTGGGATAGTTTTTTGTAGTGAAGACAGCACACAATTTCATAAAGAATATCCCCAGTAATATTAATGATCCCTTACCTTTTTTGGTTCAGTATATCTAGGATGCCATCAAGATCTGATGAAACTTGGTATATGGCCACAGTATGTTTCACAAGGACTGGGTCATACTATGATGCAAGAAGCAGGGGAGGCAACTGGAAGTCCAACAAGTATTGCCATGGAGATGACATTAAGTATGTGATTACATGGTCAATTTCAGTTTCTGTATCTCAACAGGAGTATGTCAGGATGTACAATAAATACAGACTTTGAAGTTAACAACTTGCTATTTTTATGTGGAAATATTAGTGGTGCTTAATTCTTTTCAAGGTGTATAGTTGGTAGATATACGTGATATATGCCAGCTCAAGTGTGTTAATACACCGTAAAATTAGCTGTCCAATATGCACTTGTAACAACGGGTACCTAGCCACTGCAGAAAACTGAACTGTTGCCATATCTATTTTATGAATATGTGACATGCAATTATAACTTATATCGTTCTGTATGTATATTCTCATGTTGGTTTCACTGATGTTTTTTTAGAATATAATTATTTAAATAAATTATGTAACCACATTTTATATACATATTTGAAAATATTTGTAAGTGTAGTCACTGTTTCCAAAATCTTATTTTTATGCAACATTTTCACCTCATACTAAACTCTCTTAAGTTGGAAAAGGAAAAGGTTGTTTTTGGTTCCAGAAAAATATTAAACTTAATGAAAGTATACAAGTGATATATTTTTGTTGTACGTTTTTCTTTATATACAGGAAATAACTTAAAACATTGAAAATTGATTATTTGTTCATCAGACTTTATAGAAAGATCAATGTTTTACTTGATTGTGTGATGAGCCAGACATTTCTGTGTATTTAATACGAAGACTAACATGAATAACCTTCCTATCCAGCTTCTAAAGGAAATTGTAATCTAAGCCTGGGAACCCTGTTATCTATTGACAATAATGCCCAGCAACTACGGCAAGCAACAAGTGCGTGTGTGTTTGTTGTTCAATGCTGCACTTGCAACATATCAACTGTATATCAGTGATTGATGCATGAGCATCCATGGTGTCTGGAAAGTTGACAACAAGCAATGAAGTCATTCAGCTTGATTTATGAAATACCTGAGCTTCCAAGGGACCTATCATCTTACGAGAAATCCCCATGGTTTTGAGACACACGTAATACGCATTAAACATGAGAAATGTCAATAATTTGTTTTGCGTAATTGAAAAGATTTCATCCCCACCCAACTAAATGTCCTGTTAGCTTCTGATGAACAGATAGTCAATTTGTTGTTGAGCTAATACACTTCTTATGGGTTTGCGAAATGTTTTGAAACTGACATCACTCCATCCTCGATTACCAGTGTATTATGTTTTTAGTTTGATAAATACCCGGGACCCATTTTGCCACCATAGACTCCTAGGATCTCGAACTAAGCACACAGCTTCCCTCGCTCCTGAGAGTAATTTGTTTGTATGGTTGTTTTTAGAGTCGTGCTGTTGGAATTAGGCTCAAACCAAAGCTGTGGAAGGCAATGTGTTCAGGGTATTTATCAGAATAGAATGGAGATGTAACCCTGGATAACCGAGGGCTAAAGTTTTTCTATTGTCATTTATTTATTTTTTAATAATAGTCTAAATTTAACAGATGTATTAAAGTCACTAGACACCCACAACACATTATACATATAATATAGATATGGTTGTCAACTTTACTTTTGAGACAGTTTTCAGTAGTTTTTCTTACGAATCCCAATGTTCAAGATAATTCCTGAGGCCAAACTAATTAATTTATAGACAGGCATGTCTTTTTTAATAGGTACGTGTTGTATTTCCATTTTAGTATATTCAGATCTTGTTGGGGGATATTCACATGATCAACCAACCAACCCTAACATTATATTACTTTTACTCTTCTGCCTGTTGGCGTATGGACCAACAAAATATTTAAAATAAGAATATGAGGATCATTAATATCAAGTGAGTGAATTTGTGCGCAGGTAGAAATAATGTTGGAGGTTGGATCATAATTAAGTCCAAATAGGTCTCAGAAGTAAAGTTGCCTACTAAATATGTCAGGTTTATTTTCAATCATTCCTGTCTGAACCCTTTCACCATGTTGAAGTCCTGGACAGTTGTATCAGAGTTTCTGCAGAAAAAAAATAAATATTTATCTTCCATCAATAGCATTGGCTTGTTACTCTTTGTTGTTGTTCCTGGCTAGACTTGGTCTTCAGCAAGCCATGTTGATCGTAAGACTAATGAGATCAGGTGGTCTTCAACAACTTATGCTTGTCGTAAAAGTCGACTAATGAGATCAGGTGGTCTTCAACAAGCCATGTTTGTCGTAAGAGTCGACTAATGAGATAAGGTGGTCTTCAGGAAGCCATGTTTGTCGTAAGAGTCGACTAATGAGATAAGGTGGTCTTCAGGAACCTGTGTTTGTCGTTAGAGTCGACTAATGAGATCATGTGGTATTCAGCAAGCCATGTTTGTCGTAAGAGTCGACTAATGAGATCATGTGGTATTCAGCAAGCCATGTTTGTCGTAAGAGTCGACTATTGAGATCATGTGGTCTTCAGCAAGCCATGTTTATCGTAAGAGTCGACTAAAGAGATCATGTGGTATTCAGCAAGCCATGTTTGTCGTAAGAGTCGACTATTGAGATCATGTGGTCTTCAGCAAGCCATGTTTGTCGCTAGGGGCTACTAATGAAATCTAATGTCTTCAGGAACCCATGTTGAGGACATTTTGTTTTGAGGTGAAACGACAGGTCAATGAAACAATTTCAGGCAATAAATGTATGCGGTTTATGTGGCAAGACCGTTTCTGAAGAAATCAAGCGCCCAAACACATCTCTGTGACAATCATTAAACACGTGCAAGGGGTCTTTACCTTTGTCACCGAGACTTGGTTGTGAGCAGACATATTGTTATTTTTAACCAAAAGCTCCAAGACACTATTAAAAACATTGACTCATTAAGGAACCAACAACACTGATCATGTGACGTTTGCAACCTGCTGAACAATACTGCACGTTTCTAAATCTGTCATCAGCAGATGTCTGACAGATGTGTCAGAACGATGGCATTAAGAAATTGGTTGCAAACGGTCCGTGGCCTCACCAACGTGCCTTCAACATGTACCAGTATTGACTGTCACATATTGAAACCCCATCCATCACAAGTCTACATGAAATATATATACATGGCAAAAACTATAACATGTTAAATACTTATTGATACTTCTTCTTGTGATTTACGGACTCACTTCCCAAACTAAGAATTGTATCAATGAATATTTGATGGTGGAATGATGAACACTGTATCAAGAACAAGATAACCTGTAAATGTTGGATGTCAGACATCTGTTATTGTGCCCTACACAAGTATCGGGCACCTGTTGTTACAAATACACACGTACACCGGAACACTATACACCTTGACATACACATACACTGGCAGCCTAGAGTACCTGTTATATTGACATGGGTTACTTCTCTTTCTCATTATAACTCAAGCCTTGGATATCAGCGGCGGATCCGGGAGTTCGAAAGAGAACATAATACCCAAGTTAGCTGAGCACGAAGTTAACACGTCGGGTGTCTGAGAAAAGGAGGGGTGCGTATACCCAGCACCCCCAAACCACCACCATTAATCCGCCAGGGGATTGTACACAGCTTGCACAATCATCGAATCTCTGTTATATCGACATGTACCAACAACGGTCCTCTCCATTGTTCATATGTAACATTAGTGGTCACCTGTTTACACAAACATTGAACATATGCTATCTCAACACATATATCTCGATGTATACAAGCAATGGACATCTGTCATTTGGACATTAACAAACATCAGGCACCTGTCACTTACACAAGATATGTACAAACATCAGTATTTCTTCAGTTTGAATTCTACTGACTTCAGATAAAATATACATCTTCGAGGGAAAAGACAAAATATGAATAACCCTTTGTGATAAGGTTAGTGCATGAGTATACTTTAGAGTTCAAAAGAGTTGCACAAAAAGTTGGCACTGTTCTGGTTTGGTCTCGGCTTCGGGCGATTCTCCTGAACGTCACAGAACATCAGTATTCTGAACCTTCTCTGCAACAGACGTTATTCAACGTTTTCAATTTATAGTGTGAAAACACCAATCATCCTTATATATCCATTCACAACATAAGCGATGTCATTTAAGGAGTATGGGACGGGCCTGTGACTGGGAACAAGAAGACAGTATTCACTGATGGGAAGGATGCAGTTACCTTGAAGGTTGTTTTGTGAATCTGTCTAAACAAACGTCTGGTGATCTGAATATCTAATGGTTACCTTGATATCGTATATATAATATAATATAATATAATATAATATAATATAATATAATATAATATAATATAATATAATATAATATAATATAATATAATATAATATAATATAATATATTACAATACAATACAAAACAATACAATACAATACAATACAATATAATATTACACAATATAATTTTTATGTGACCTAATTAATTTTTTATGCTTCTGCACACTTTGTGTTAATAGAATAATAACTCTTTGAAAGAAAAGTTATGTATATACTTTTCGCTGTCTTCATAGTTATAAAACAAACTGGGCAGTTAATTCAGAACAAAAACATACTTACACATTTTGTTCTTTGACTTGTCAGGTACAGCATATACTTCCGCAATAACGTTACCGCCAACAACAGTTTGAAACTTGGTTGTCTTGTCCGGTTTAGCGTACATTTCCTCAACTCTGGCGTCACCGCCAACAGCAGCTGGTGCCTTGGTTGTCTTGTCCGGTTTAGCGTACATTTCCTCAACTCTGGCGCCACCATCAACAGCAGCTTGTGCCTTGGTTGTCTTGTCCGGTTTAGCGTACATTTCCTCAACTCTGGCGCCACCATCAACAGCAGCTTCTGCCTTGGTTGTCTTGTCCGGTTTAGCGTACATTTCCTCAACTCTGGCGCCACCATCAACAGCAGCTTGTGCCTTGGTTGTCTTGTTCGGTTTAGCGTACATTTCCTCAACTCTGGCGTCACCGCCAACAGCAGCTGGTGCCTTGGTTGTCTTGTCCGGTTTAGCGTACATTTCCTCAACACTGGCGTCACCGCCAACAGCAGCTGGTGCCTTGGTTGTCTTGTCTGGTTTAGCGTACATTTCCTCTACTCTGGCGTCACCATCAACAGCAGCTGGTGCCTTGGTTGTCTTGTCTGGTTTAGCGTACATTTCCTCAACTCTGGCGCCACCATCAACAGCAGCTGGTGCCTTGGTTGTCTTGTCCGGTTTAGCGTACATTTCCTCAACTCTGGCGCCACCATCAACAGCAGCTTCTGCCTTGGTTGTCTTGCCCGGTTTAGCGTACATTTCCTCAACACTGGCGTCACCGCCAACAGCAGCTGGTGCCTTGGTTGTCTTGTCTGGTTTAGCGTACATTTCCTCTACTCTGGCGTCACCATCAACAGCAGATGGTGCCTTGGTTGTCTTGTCTGGTTTAGCGTACATTTCCTCAACTCTGGCGCCACCATCAACAGCAGCTGGTGCCTTGGTTGTCTTGTCCGGTTTAGCGTACATTTCCTCAACTCTGGCGCCACCATCAACAGCAGCTTCTGCCTTGGTTGTCTTGTTCGGTTTAGCGTACATTTCCTCAACTCTGGCGCCACCATCAACAGCAGCTGGTGCCTTGGTTGTCTTGTCTGGTTTAGCGCACATTTCCTCAACTCTGGCGCCACCGCCAACAACAGCTTGTGCCCTGGTTGTCTTGTCCGGTTCAGCGTATATTTCCTCAACTCTGGCGCCACCATCAACAGCAGCTTGTGCCCTGGTTGTCTTGTCCGGTTTAGCGTACATTTCCTCAACACAATGGACATCACGCTCATTGTACAGACCTGGGTTATTTGCAGATGTCTTTTCCACCTTAGTCTTGTCATCTGACATATATAGAGCAGGCATACAGGGCTAGGAAAAATCCTATTTTGTCGTACTAACATGAAAATAGTAGCGATTCAGTTCTGTGTCAACTACAATTGAGGAAAAGACCATAACATTTACATGAATTACACAAGTTTGTTGCTGATGAAACACAAAAAAAACATTTATTTAGCAAATAGAAGCGACAAAATCCTTTCCATGTTCATACAAAATCTCCTCCAAAAGCAGAATCCACTGTACTATTCCGACTGTATCATAAGCATGTGTTTATGAATCACTATCAAATAGTGATGATACCAGGTGTTCGCGAGAAGGTGACATTGTGTGGAAATGGATGTTACTATACTCCTATAACTATGAAGCCATTACAGTAAAATACATATATAGAAGACATGATTACGTGATTTAGAACTAGCCTCAACACCTCACCTTTATAACTGTCAGTACTTCTCTTTCTCCGTATGTAACATAAACAGGCGATGACAACAAGGACGACAGCGACGAGAGCAACTGAGATATAAATTACAGCACTCCCTGGAACAGATTAGGAGAAAAGAGTCAGATAGAAAGGATGAATGTTAAGAATGAATTATGTGGGTATTCAATTACAGTTGACAGTCGGTATGTATTTTTCTGTTCCATTACACATGCTGAGACCATACACTCCACAGGAACATACCAGGTTAAAGAAAATTCCCTGACATCACCATGGCCATATCACAAACAATGGTTCTGGGATGAATTTCAGTGTGCATGGCCTTTTGGCACATACTTGGGAGTTCTACAGTACGTTCAAAGAATTCGTGATGGAGTAGCAACCAATGTATATGTTACAGGAAACAAGTATCATCAGTGATTAAGTCTAATAACTGGAAATTTCAGTGATTATGTCTAATGACTGATTCACTCGGCGGTTATGTCTAATTACTGAAATCTTCAGTAATTAGACATAATCACTGAAATGAACCAAGGGATTTTCTACTTGTTTACTGAAAGCACATCCCTGCCTTTTTATAATAACTTGTGAGAAGGCTTCATAATCCTGTCCTAAGCCAATCAGGCAAACACATATAAATGGTTCACCTTGACCATATACCTCACACTTTGACTCATGGAGCCTCACGATACCTTCAGAGATGCACTGTACAACATGTATGAGGAAAACAGGCGTGTCCTTATCCCGAAGGAGATTTACTTGGAATCTATTAACAACTTGCTAGAAGCCTCCATTACCACGAAGAAGACACCACACCACTACTACCTCCCGAAGAAGTATGAAGTACTGAAGTGTTGTGACGTTGACAAGTTGATCAAACGACGCCAGTCATCAGAGGAAGATCCACTGTATTTCGTGACCATCGAAGATGCGTACGACACTATCAAGCGCGCTCACCTGGCAACTAGTCATAAGATGATTCATGAAATAGGTGTAATTGTGTTGGAACTAAACTGTGTCAAGATGCAATTGTAATTCTAGATGTCATTCAAGTCTTTCATGTGCAAACAAACATTCCTGAGTGTCCATCTGACTGCTATTTGTCATACCATTCATGTCATACCATTCACGTCATACCATTTTATGAAATAAAAGATTGAACTGTTTAAGCTTATTTCTGTGATTTTTGTGTAAGGTATCTGGTTACAGGAGGTTGTATTTACTTTGATAGCTAATCTAATTTCAAAACTAGCACACATTATAAAAACAAGGCAGGAATATGCTTTCAGTAAACAAGTATAAAATCCCTTGGTTCATTTCAGTGATTATGTCTAATTACTGAAGATTTCAGTAATTAGACATAACCACCGAGTGAATCAGTTATTAGACTTAATCACTGAAATTTTCAGTCATTAGACTTAATCACTGATTATACTTGTTTCCTGTAACATATATACGTATACGTCAGTCCTTTACGATGAACCACAAGCTGAGACCAAATTCTCCACAGTTCACACAATTTACTGACATCTCCTTCTCTTCATGACGATATCGCAAACAACTATTCTGGAATGGATTTCCGTGAGCAACCCCTTTCGGCAAGCACTTGGGAGTCCTATAGTAAGCTTTAACGGACTATCATATTTATTATCATATACGTAATGGCATGCAACCTATGTATGTGTGCCATCACAGTGCAGACAGCTGCACATGAATCCCCGTGTAATTCATCATGCCCTCTGTGTCCATATAGATATGGCTACATCTAAACGTCCTGGTTTGACTATATTTATGACCCATACAGAATTTAATATACTTTTAATAACTAGTTTATTTATCTGCAGCTGTTTTGTTTTTGTCATTCTTGGACTCAGTTGTATCATGTTGTTACCATGGTGTTTATCTGGGATCTTATCTTGAGCGAGGATGTCGTCTTTGATGATGAGGATGTTAAATTTGCACAGTCTCTTTAAATTACTATATTATTTCAGTTAATAACAAATCTTACTAAACCAACACCAATTCTAGCATATTTGGATTAGCCATATAGCTGAACGAATGTATACCACTTTACTCTTGTAGGTACAGGGAGCACAGACAACTGCAGGCGAAACGATATGCCTGCCAATTTAAGTTACATATCCCCGGCACACTTTGGAAATGAATGACTTGAAAGCTAAATAGTTCAAGGACATTATTGTTCGTATGTATTTTGTGTTGGTCCACCCTCTTGGACATTACTTCATATCATCCAACTGGATACGAATCACGAATAGATATTTCACAGCATTGACTTTTGGTGAAGAATTTACTCGTTATAACAAAAGCAACATGATACACATGTATTCTCAGTATAATGCAGGATGCCCGACATGAATGAACTGTTAAGCCATGCTACGCTTTTTATATGGTTCTTCAGGATGGTGCAGGTATTGAGTTATGAACATGTATAATATGTATTGAGTACATGCATGCCTCTATGATTTAAAGAACTATTTATATTCGGAGTACTTCAACAATTTAAAATTAATATTTATTGTACCTATAGCTGTAAAAATGTAAACGAGAGAGATTGTGGTCTGAATAATATTGTTTGATACCTGTAGATCCTGTATGATCAGTGGATCCGATTGTTGTCTCGTGTCCCGTTGTTAATGTTGTTGTTGATACAGTCTTTGGTGTTGCTATTGAAGTAGTCTCTGTTAAAATTCATCGATGTCGTATCTCGTGCATGTTCTCTAAATTTTTCATACACAGAACACTCAATACCCGGAAGAACGAACGCACACTCGTATGTATGTGTATCTATTTATTCGTGCAGCATGTTCACTATTTACGATTAATAAGTATTGTACATATAGCTGTGATAATGTAGACAAATTAAACAAAGTAAACATGTCTGAATAAACGAGAGATATTGTGGTCTGAATAATATTGTTTGGTACCTGTAGCTCCTGTCTCATCGGGTGCTGTGTCTCGTGCAGTTGTTGATGTTGTTGATACCGTCTTTGGTGTTGGAGTTGAAGTAGCCTTTGTTGAAGTCATTGATGTCGGGGATGTCATGTTTCGTGCAACCTCTGAAAGTTATCCATACACAGAACAGTAAATACCAGAGGCATTATCGAAAGTATAATAAAATTGAAATATGTGCAAGGATATCCCGAGTACAATGAAAAGGAAAAGGAAATGACTGCACTAAATATGTTAGGTTCAAGTATTTTCACATTTCTGAAACTTAGACATGAGACAGTGAGCAATGATAAACTTGATCGAAATGTATTGAAAGGTGATAAAGGACACATTCACATACACACTAATGATTGAATTTGAATTAATTAAAGTTAATACATTCCTCTCACCTACCTATCGTTACATTGTTGCTCCTTGTGTTGTTGTTGTCCTTCAGCCACCACACAGAGCCGACCTGAGAGGAATCCACCAACAGGGTCACAGAGGACACATAGTGGGCACAGCTCGCATTTACACGTCTTGAGATGTACTGGTATCCAACAATGGTACCATTCAGACCAGATTGATGCCCAAAAGTCTTTGAACAACTTGGGTGGTTCATTATCACGACTAACACACCATTCCTATACCACCTCACAACAGTCGTCTTTATGTTGTTGCTTGAAAATAAGCTGAACGTCTTCCCTTCAACTGCTGGCAGCGGGGAGGTAGTGAGATTCAGAGAACCTGGAATACCAACCATTTGATATACCCTTACTTACATGTTGCCACAATGGAGTGCGAATCAAGGAACGCCTGTGACAGTATGTTTCAGGCTATAACAGCAGTGTAATACCCAATAAGTTATCAATCTAACATGGCAGAGAACCTGGAATGCATACTGAAAAACCATTGCTTCCTTTACATACGTTGAAACAATGGAGGTTACTAGATACACTACTACCATGGTTCATTTCTTAACGTTTCCAACATGAATGGATACACTTCTGTCAGGGTGTAACAACTGTGTAATATCCTATGAAGTTAACGATGATAGTGAGTGAGTGAGTATGGTTTTACGCCGCTTTTAGAAATATTCCAGCAAATCACAGCGGGGGACATCAGAAATGGGCTTCACACATTGTGCCCATGTCGGGAATCGAACCCGGGTCTTCGACGTGACGAGCGAACGCTTTAACCACTAGGCTACCCGACCGCCCCTTAACGATGATAACTGACAAAGTATCTTCAATAGCTTAGATATCAACTTACTGCAGTAGCATTACGCCATTTCAAAACGGGGAACAGATACCTGCATATGTATATGTATATATGAAACGAAACACTCTTTGATTCGAAAATAGTTTACAGACATATTAAATACCGATGGTGCAGAGTATGCCAATCCTACTTACCATACACAAATGAGACTCCACCTAGTAACGTCAAGGACATCAGATGTATTCTACCCTCCATTCCTTCACATGCAGCACTCTAAATACACCTCACTTACTCCCAAGTAATGGTTTTACAAGTAATATGACTATTTCACGTCAGCCTTATAACAACGGCACAATCAGTAACTATTATTCATGCTATCTTAGCAACTACAAATAGAAAG